AAAAAAAAAACAATATTCATCGATTAAAAAAATACTCAGCGTGAACAGCTACTGCCGAATCCAAACGAATAGCTTTTTTTTAAGTACCACGCTGTCCTTGAAAAACCAGTAACCGTTAATCAACAGTAGTATAACTTGTCAATAGCTCCTAGCTTCTTCTGACGTCAAATAAACTGGTTGTGAAAAACTGGCTTTCGAGATGCTATTTCTATTAACTTGCCTCGAATCGGTTTTCGAAAGAAGAAGCCATCGATAGCCTCAAAAACGGTGATCACTGTTCGCTCGGGTTACTTCCCATTACCTTTGCCTATCATCAAGCTAAATTTAAGCGTTTATGAAGGAGCCTTGCTCTCCATGTATTTTGCGCCTTACTGATTTGTCTGAAAGTCACAAGTGCTGCATACATGGTACTTATTCACACAAAGACTATGCAAAATTTGGACGAATGTGAAATGATTTTTTACAATGCGAAGGCTAGCTGGGAAGCATTTATTAGATATAAGTAAAACAACAAACCAATCAATGTTATTGAAATATCGACCTATATGTAAGTGGGATGAGACATCAAGACGTAAAGTTTACTGGAGATTAAGTACCAGTGAGCAGCAGCAGGGACCAGACTAATGTTGAATACCGGGCCAAGTCAGATTTGAGTTGACGAGACGAGAATTCGGGACGAAAGGTTGGTAAAGGTGATGAGCACACATCGATGCGGGGTTAATCATAGAAGACCGGAACCCAGAGTTAAGCAATTTAGAACTTATATGAGGCTTAAAGGCGGTACAAGAAAGTGTCTTCCACTTCCAGTGATAAAGTTCCAAAAAATGCCAGACAGTGAATTAGAGAAGCTAATAGAAAAAATGAAGGAAAAAGAAAGGATTTTAGGGTAAGAATGTTGGATTTAAAAGAGATAGGGGACTAGATTACTAAAATGATTTGTGATGAAGGGAAACGAATGTCACAAAAAAACTATTTTATATTTGCGTCTATCTACACTTTTCTGCAAGAAAAATACAGGCTTGCACTAAGTATTCATGACTTAATCTGTGGTCCGATTCGGAATATAAACTTTAAAGCTGAGAGCAATTTGGAAGCCAGAGGGTTCTCTTCAACGTTTGTTCTGAACCCCAAATTCAGTTAGATAAAACCAAGCCCCTTGTTTATTTCTATCAGAGCCTGTCGCAACTGAAGACCACGAGAGATAGGAAATTGGAATTTAGAAGCCTTGCTCCCAGTTATAAACGGATATAGAAACACAGAGCTGCAGAATTAGCTTTCGTGTTTTCATACATTCCGGACAGGAAACGTGAGAGGCTTAACCTCATGTTCCTGCAAACACAGTCACAGTATCTAAAATAATTTCCCAATTCTAATCCGTAGCCAAGCTCTTTATTATCAGTCGAAGAGAAGGACAAAAAAAACCATTAAAAATAACTCAACGTTTTGATGCGTTCACCCACTGTGAACCAGCAGCAACTTGCCGCGAAAACTTGCTCTTGAGATGGGTTCATTTGTTAGTGGTGATGTGACAAATGCCATGACCGTCTGGGTTGTCACTAATTACAAGAAAATACTTCCCGCATCCTTTACTCCCTCCATCACAGCCAGCATTCGTTCTTTCACTTTCGTCACTGGACAAACTTCGCATCCGAAAAGTTGCTTTTCAGCTCTGAAAAATTTTGTCACAGACTTTTTGAAGACAAGCCTTGCTTTTAGCCTATAAGTGCTAAATCATGAAAAAAAGTGAAACTAACCGAAGGGCATTGAATTTACGTACTTTACTGAATGAAAAAAAACCATGGAAAGTGAGGGGCATCATGTTCGGGAGCTGTCGTGAAGTTTGTGTCTCATGAAGGCGAGCGTACGACCTTTTAATAGTACTGGATTGCAATGGAATGCCGCCGGGCAGTGCAGCCAGCTGACTGAGCATGCCGAGTGTTACAGCGCGACAAATCGACGTCCTTTCGCAGAAGCCGGCAGGAGCGGTTCTTACGGTATATATTGCGACGCAAGCCGTGCTATGTTCTTGTACTGCTGGAGATCCTGACACTGCTGCTGCTTCTGGCGCTGCTCGCACTCCTCGTATGGGCTATCCAGGACGAAACGGTTCCATTTCCCTTCTCCGAAGATATATTTTTGTTTCTCCAAAAGAAGCTATTTCAGAAAATGAATTGCAACTGAAGATTTTTGCAGAAAGAAGTGGAGATGGTTGAGGCAGAGAATAGTTGGAAGGAGAGCGGCGAGTACAAGCTAAGCTTCTATAAATGTGAATATGAGCCGATCTGGGATAAGCCACAGCAAATGCAAATAGTAATGACCTTTTTTTTTTTAAATGGTGTCTAAGATCTTGCTTCGTTTGTGAGCTAATCATGAAATAATAATTGGCCAACGCACGGGATGCCTTTGCGAAGATGCGTTTTTTGCAGAATTCCCAGCAATTTTTGTTACTACCGGCATCGGCTTTTTCGGCAAATGCTTCAAGCTAAACAAATTAAGACTGGCTGCCAGAACTGGCAGGAAACACTCCTTTAAATTTTAAGCTTTCTAGTTTTCCTGGCTCCTGAGTTAGCAACTTACTGGAAAAAACTTTCACGGGCCCGCACG